GGGGGCGGGAGGAGGGAAGGAGGGCGTGCGCGGATACTCGGTACATATGATCAAACCAGGTAAAGTCACTCACTTGAGGGACAGTCGTGGGTCGCCATAAGGGGCGTAGGGTGAAATGTTTAGAATAAACTCCTTGGGAGGGTAGGAGCTCCATTTCTGCTGCACTGTGCTCTCATTGTTATTCCAAAAGTCTCTGTCTAGATCACTGGAGGGGCAGAGAGAGAGGGGAGAAAACAGGGAGATACAAGAAGAAACAAGAACTGCAAGTCCTGCAGGGGCAGAAGGGACCAGGACCCCGGGGCCGGGCACACAGGGGGCAGGGCTTCGTGGTCAGCTCCTGCGGGAGGAAGAAAGGCAGGCAGGCACCACAGTCTGTGCCTCGCACACACGCGCACACGCACACACACGCACACATGTGCAAGCATACCCATGCACACACGCACGCACCCGAGGGCCGGGAAGCCACACAGAAAGGAGGCAAGCGGCAGGCGGCAGACCGGAGCCTCGCACCTGGGAAGCTGGTGGGAGAGAGAAAATGATGAGAGGCGGGGACGTAGGGGAGAAGGGTTGGGGACAAGGCCCGAGGTGAGCAGGGGGAGTGGGAGAAGGAGCGTGCTGGTTTCTGGCTAGATGGAGCTGAAAGGCAGATCAGGCCCAGGTGCCAACTTGCTAGGCCCTACCTCTCCTGGCCTCAGTTTCCTGGCCGGTCAAAGAAGACTGGCTGTAACTGCTATACTATCAACTCTCTCACTGTAGAATAAAAGCTCTAGTACTGGAGAACTCAAGGTTCTCTCCTCTTCCATGTTCTCTCCACTGAGGCCCTCCTGGGGCAGGCCCAGCCCCTTAACCATCTTTCACCTCCTCCTCCTACTGGCCTGAGGGGCTCCCTGGCTTCCTGTGCTCTCTCTTCTACTCTGTGAGGCGGCGCTGCAGCCTTAACCTAAGACTGGGGGATCTCAGCTGAACTGGAGACCATCTCTACTCCTTGCAAATGTGGCAGCTGGGTCACCCCACCCCCCTGAAAGGGGAGCATTCCCAGGCCTCTGACCTTGCTGAGGATGTCACTAGGGTAACCAGGGCACCCTTCAGTCCTTTGTTCTGGGGCCTGTGTAGCGGGAACCTGTCCTCTGGGTGTGTCCCTGGCCTGCCTGCTGGGGCAGCCCCTCCCTGGGTCCCTATCCCTTTCCAAGGTGGAGCTGCTGGGTCTGGAAGGGACCTTCACCCCGGACTCTCCACCTTCTCCTGAGAACGTGGGGACTTGCAGGTGGGGTGGGTGGCAGAAGCCTTGGCCGGTGGAGGGCACAGCCTGGAACCCCTGGGAGCCAAGGACAAGGGGTGCCACCAGCTAATCAGGCCACTGGGACCCCAAGAAGCAGGGCTGGGAGTACAGGGGAATAGAGACAGTGACTATTATGGAAGGCAGCCATGTTTCAGGCACGGGAATGCCTTTAGAGAAGAGGCCCCGGGAGGAGCACTGGGGTGGGCCTGGGGAGGACTGAGGCTGTGCCGCTCCCCAAAGCCAAGGTGGGGCAGTGTGGGGAAGGGTGCCATCGGGGGCACACACCACCCCCCAGGATCAAGCAAATATGTTCTTGTGGGACCTGCTTTTTCCTCCATTTAGAATTTGACCTTGACTTTGGTTCTCAACCTCAGACTCAGGCACAAAAGTGAGAAAGATGGAGAGAGGCTGAGCTGCCACCATAGGCCCAGATGAGATGGTGGCGTTGGGCATCCCTGGCGTAGACAGATTTCTCTGTCCAGAGTACACCCTGGAAATGTCTCACAGGGGACTCTGTGTACAGGGTTCAAAGCCAAAGCGTAGAGCCAGCTCACAGTGGCAGTAAGTGGTGGGCATGGAGGAGGTAGGACAGGCCCCAGGGGAACCTAACCCCTTGACAAAAAACCCCCTTCCCACCACAGATGTCCCTTCCCAGCAGAGCCTCACACAAGGGCATGGCTGGGGCACCCCGTGTCAGGTATAACAGAGATGGAGTAGGTAGGAGCCTCCCTTTCCCACTCCCTCCAGATCTCCAGAATCTAGGGCCACCCAACCCTAGGTCCCAGAAAAAAAATCCACCCAAAGCCACCACTGCCGGACTTGTCTCCCACCCTGTGTTCTCAAGAGCTCCAGGGTCCCTCAGGTTTTTCCACTGTGGTACTGGAAAAAAGGATCTTTGATTAAAGAAATTTGGGAAACACTGATTCCTTTACCGCAGGACTTCTCAGAGCCTTTAATGTGCCCATGAATATCAGTATCGCCAAGAGGGAGACAGAGTGTACAGTGTTCCCCAAACTTAGTCGACCATGAGACCCTTGATTCATGGAACAGCTATGACTCATCTATGGGGCACAAGGACCCTGAGGAACACAGTTTGGAAAGCACTGCTAAAGAACACAGTTTCCTAGAATCCTTGATAAGACGATCCTTTGTTGGGGGTCCTAAGCCCGTGGATGACTGTGCAGGAAGGAGGCTCTCCCTCCTGTGACTCCACTGACTTGGGCCCTTTCTGTTCTCTTCTGGAAAGAAGCAAAGGCTGAGGTGCATGTAGACACACATGGTGGCTTCCTTCCCTCGGGGCAGAGGGCCTGACCACTCAGCAGCATCAGGGGCAGGCTAGGATTGAGTGCGGGAGCTGCAGGACCACACAGAGGCAGGCTGGATGGCCGTGGCTGCCTCACCTTGTCTTAGAGAGCCCTCATGGGCACTGGTCCCAGCCTGGCACAGCCTGCTGCCCGCCCTCCCTCTGGTTGGGAATCCTGTCTCCTCTCGTGGGCCCTTTCCAGGACTCCAGGCCCTGCCACACGCACCCCTATCCAGGAAGGTTATGATCACCTGGCAGAGACAGGCCCCCAGCCCTGGTCCGCAGCTGTAAACGGCCTGTCCTGGAGGAGGCACAGGTGCTGCGCTGGCTGTGCTCCCCCACGCGCTCTCTCGCCTTCAGAAAGCCCGGGCCTGCACTCTGCAAGAGCCCCTGAGCCCTGCCAGCACTTGGCTTTGAAGACTGGAGCCTGCGCAACCAACCCAGCTTCAAAGGCTCCCGCAGCCTCCTCCTGAGTCTCCTGCCCTCCCCCAGCCTCAGCCTGGCCCACCCCTCCTCTTGCCCCACCTCAGACATATGCACACAGATTCTACCAAGGCCCCAAACAGGATCAGTGCAAGAGATGAACAAAATGGGGCAGAGGAAGGCCTGGAAGGGAGCCCTCGGGAGCGGGGTGCAGGGTCGGGGAGTTGAGAAGAGAAGATGGAGAAAGAGGAAAGGGAAGGGAAGGGGAAAGATGCACAGGGGAAGGCAAGGGAGACCAGCAGTAGGTAAGGGCCAGAGGGCAGGGGAGGGTGGCTGGGCCTTCAGAGGGATGAAGAGTGGGGGTAGGGAGGGCTGCGGGCATTCGGCTTCTAGGCAGAGCCCTTTGGCTGGCAGGCTTGGTCCAGGCCAGGCTGACATGTAGGGCTACCACCCCTACCTTGACCTCTGGGTTCAGCAGAGAGGAAGGGGCTGGGGCCACTGACCAGTGGACACAGAGGCTTCCCCCCCCCGGCGAAAGCCTCCATTTCCAGAGCCTAGGTGGCCTGAGTCCCCAGCCAGGTGGGTGGGGGGCTTCTCTTGGTGTTTCCCAGTGACCTCAGCAGAGGGCTGGCTAAGATGGTCTGCAGTGGGAGGGCAGACCCCTTGAAGAGGGCTCTACAGCAGAACAAGGAGATCGGGGTAAGGCAGAGACAGCCACACACGCAGCGGCTGGTGGGGGTGACGGGGAGGGAGGGACTGCTCCCCAGCGCTCTGCTCCCTGAGTAGCCCAGCACAGGGGCCAGCTGGGGTCCACAAGGCGTGTCTGCCTCCCCACTTCCAGGTCATCCTTAAATACTGGCAGAATCTGAGAAAAGAACCTGGGGTCTACTAGGGAGGGGCCTCCCTGGCCTAGCAGCAGGGGCCCCATGAGAGGGTCTTAGAGGTCCAGGGAAGCCTGTGGGTGGTGGGCACAGTGTGTGTGACAGGAAGGTTGGATGGGAAAGCGGCAACCAGGGTTAAGGTGGGTGCAGACAGTGCTGGGTGTGACAGCAGCAGAAACGGAGGCCAGGGACTCCGGAACACTGCAAGGGGCTTGGGCACAGGCAGAAAAGACAGGGCCCCTGAGTTGTTGGGGCATGTGGAGGGTGTAGAGAGCATGGCATCAGGGTGTGGGGGAACCGAAAGTGTGTGGTCAGGTCTGTGGGGCTGAGGGAGAGAAGGGGCTCCTCCCACCTGGGCTGCTTGTGTGGCCCCATCCCAAACTGGCAGCCTGGCACCTACTTGATAGCCTTCTTCTCACTGCGCCCACGCCCTGAGTCTGGCGTGCCCACCGTCTCCAAGGAATTCTTGTAGCGTTTGCCCTGTGGAGATAGCACTGGGGTCACTCCTGGGGAACAGGACTGTACCCTCCCCACCTCCCCAGAACAGGGACCCAGAGGGGAAGGAGACAGACCTGAGTTGGGCTGTGGCAACAAGGCCAGGACCAGTGTGCGAGGATGTCACAGCGGTGGGGGCCAATCCCCTGGATGCCTGCTCCCCGGTTGGCAGCTCCTGGGCCCCATTGGGCTCTAGGACCTGCCTCATCCGCCTCGACCTGAACCTCATCCCTGACTCCCAGGGATTAGCCCCTCCTGTCTGCCTATCTCCTGGGGCTCTGGCCTAGCTCCCAGAAACACAGTTCCCTCTGCCATGGACAGACGGCTCTCAGGCGCCTGGCCACGTCACACTGTCCACGTCATCACCCCCAGATGGTGGGGGTGGCATCCTGCAGGGCAAGGTTGGCAGTGGCCAGTGATGTGAGCAGTGGGGGCGGGGAGAAGGCCATGTCCCCAGTCCTGCTCGGGGCTGTGTCCACCACTGTCGGGCTCTCTGGGGGTCCTTGTGCCCTGGGGCTGTGAGGCAGGAGCAAGGCTGTTTTAGGAAGGCAGTCTTAGGAAGACAGACTGCCCACTGACTCAGAGGCAGTTGTGGGGAGGCAGCCTAGGCCCCTGCTTCCCAGAGTCCCTCACACTAGCAGGAGGAGGGAGGGGGCAGGGCAGCGGGTGGGCACCCCAGGTCCTCCAGCTAAAGGAAGGGCCGTGGCCACAGTGGCAACTGGGCCTGCTGCCGGGAAGGTGAGCACCATTCACCTTCTCAGTTTGGGTTTCTAAATTTAGCTCATGCAGAGCCCAGCCCCATTAACATTCCTGGCTGCCACCAAGCGTCCTCACACGCACCCATGGGCCACGGACCTGGGCCAGGTCCAGGTCCATGGCTGATGTGGGCAGTGGGGGAACAGGGGCTGTGCGGGGGTTGGGGCTGCCTCTCCCAGCCCATTCTCCCACTGGGCACTGGCCTACCTCTCCCCAGCTGCACACACACACGCGCGCGCGCACACACACACACACACACACACGTGCGCACGCAAATGCTTCCCAACACCCCGTCATGTGCACCAGCGCCACAGCCACAACAGTCGATTATTCCATCATCTCTAAAGCAAAGTAAGAGCTGTCACTGCCATGATCCCTGTCACGGCCATGCTCCCTGACGCTCCCGCCAGGGGCAGCCCCTTCCCAGGCACGGGAGCCGCCTATCTAGGGAGACTGGCAGCAAAGCTCCCTCATGCCACCAGCAGTGCCCTACACCTCAGGGTTGCCTGAGGCTTGGCTCCAGCAATACCGCATGTTCCCCCATCGTCCTAGCCAAGTCCCTTCCCTTCTCTGGCCTCTTTCCTCCTTTCTGAAATGGTGTTGCCATGTGAACCTCAGGAGGAAGACTCCTCATCCCTCCAGGCTCTCATCACAGATATGGGCATTTCTGTTTACTTACTTGAGCTCCTATCTCCTGGCACGTGCTCCCACAGAAGCAAGGCTGTGGGTTTCTGGTACCTAGTGTGGAACCTGGTACCAGGCAATTCTCAGAAATCATCACCTGGCAGTGTCCCTTCTATGGCCCTGCCCACCCTGGAGTCTGGGCCCCCAGCAGCTGCCTCTAAGTCAGAACTTTAAGACTTGAAATACAGAGATGCCGGACACCCTGGGTTCACAAAAGCTGCCACTCACAGCTCCTTCTCCAATGCCTCCCATCACTACCCAGAGGTCCAAATCTCAATTCCCAGTTCCAACTGGGAAGATCCGACGAGGCTGTGCCACAGTGACCTCAGGCCCCCTTCGGCAGGACCCTCAGGCAGGAGCCCCGCTCCACTATTCTGCAGCACACAGGCAGTGTGGGGCAAGAGCGGGGCTGCTGAGGGCATCCCATGCCGCCCCTCACTCTTCTCTTCCTTCTTTCTGGCTTGGCAAGAGAGCTTGCCCCGGCCAGTACCCTCTCATAGGGCTGGTCCACTGCCCCTTTCCTAAGGCCACGAAAGGCAGGGTCAGCTCTTTCCGAGCCGCCCCCCCACAGACATTCTGGGAGCCTCTGTCTGCCGCTTTTCCCTCCCCAACTACGAGAACCTTCCCCTCTGGCTTTGACTGTTGCTCTGCAGCAGGAGCCAAGGCGCTATGGGGGACAGGAACCAGGCCAGGACTTGATTTGGAGGGCAGGGGGATAACCCAAGTTAACAGGAAATCAGGCAGGGTCCGGGTGACATTAGGCAGCTTCAAAGGAGCCCAACACCACCAGCCCGCTTCTCAGGGAGGGGTGGCCAGGCTGATCCGGAAAAAGCCAGCTGGAGATTAAGGAAGTTATTAATGTTTGGAAATGGGATCTGGGCTGTCAGGGTATCACGTCACTGCTGCTGAGGGGACAAGCAGGCAAGGAGAGCCCGACAACTGTGTGTGTTGGGGGAGGGGACAGCATTTTAAAGTCCCTTCCATGGAGCAAGGAGACAGCCTGATCAAGGAGCTCCCTGGCTTCTGGAACCCCTGAGGCAGAGGGGAGCGGGTGGCAGGGCTTGGATGACTGGGGAGAGTAGCATTCTATCCAGAGCAAGTCAAGAGGGACAGCCTGTGGTCTGGACCCTGGGACGGCTCCTGGCTGGGGATTGAGGGGAGGGGCTGGGACCAGGGAAGAGGCTGCATCTGTATCTCTCAGCTCCCAAGGTCCTTCTGGTGCTGACAGCCCCCATCTGCTGCAAAAGCTGTCGCCTTTGAACTCCTGTCCCCAGGCCCTGCACCTGACTGGAGGTGCATGGGGGTGGGGTAGAGACCAGTTTCAATTGTACCCAGGTCCTGGAAGGCACCTCTCACTGCATGCACACACACACACACACACACTGCAGCACATATGCAGAGGAGGTCACGAGGGTGGGGCAGACCCCAGCATTGGCTCACACAGGGATCTGATGAGTTGATGCACATCCCACCGCTGAGGGGTGAACAGACACACAGACACAGACAGAGAGACAGACAAGACAGACACACACACACACACTGCACCAATACCCTCAAAGTCAGCACACTCAGCACAGACCCCACACGGAACACACACACAAGGTCGCCAGCAGCGCCTGCTCATGCAGCCAGCCTTCTTCCCTGGCCTTCAAATCCAGACAGACAGCAAGACAGCCTAAGGGGCTCTGCAACAAGATGCTCAGCGCTGCAGCTACGCTCAGCCACTCCCCCAGCCTCCGAGCACACTCACACACAGAGGCACATGGCCCAGCCTCCTCTACCACCTTTCCTGAAATTCTGAGACAGACGCAGACACCGGGGACCCAGGAACAAAGCAGGGCAGCCAGCCCAGTTCCACACACCTGCAGGCAGGGGGGGACCGGGTCACTCACACACTCGCACACATGCACACACACTCACACAGGAAGCAGAGCTGGCCTCCACTACGGCTCCTCCCCAGGGGTCGGAGCTGCCTGAAGTTCAACACCCAGGATGGAGGCGCATGCTCCCAAGTCCTGAGTTTGCCTTTCTTGAAGGAGGCATGCTGGGTTCTGGGACCTCTCCGGTCTTTCCCACGGGTCTCTCACAAGACCCCAAAACCCTTTCCCAGGGGTATCTGCCCCTTTTCTTCCTCCAGAGGAGTGGGGCATGAAGCCTCTACCCACCCAGTGCCCACAACCACAGCGCTCCCCCCTTGTCCTTAAGGCCCCTCTGTGGCTGCGCAGGAAGAGAATGGGGTTCCCAGAGCTGGCGCCCTGCCCCTACTCCCACCATTGGGGGCGCTTGCCAGTGACCCTCTTTCACCTCACCCCGCCAAAGGCGTCGCACCTCAGACACCCTGGACCCACCGTTGCTCCTCTGCCCCCTGCTGCCCCCAAAGCCCCACCACACTTCTGGGCCGGGCGGCAGGAAGGGGGACGGGAGTCGGGGTCTTGCGAAGCAGAAGCCCGGGGAGCTGCGGGCGGGGTGGGGCGGGGCGGGGTGGCGCGATGCAGGGCGGGCGGCTCAGCCCCGCTCCGCCTACCGGCGCCCTCGGGGGATGAATGTCCCTCCTGACGGTCTCTTTACTTATTGATGGACTAATCCTGCTCGTTAATTCCCCAGCCCTCGTTAAAAATGAAAAGGAGCCGTTTGTGCTTGTACAAACCCGAGAGCCAGGATGGATGTGCAGGGGGTGGGGCGGGCGGCGCCACCGCATTGGCCTCCGGCTCGGCTACGCCCATTGGGGGAGCGGGCGGAGGGGAGGGGGCGCGGCGCTTAGACTGGGGGCTCCATTCTCAGTCTGCGCGTGTGTGCCTGCGGTGCTTTATGCGGAAGGCAGGGCGTGTGTGTGTGTGTGTGTGTGTGTGTGTGTGTGTGTGTGTAGCTGCTCGCGTGCGAATGCCTGTGAGTCCTAAGTCTGTCCCTGAATGTGTCCCTAAATACATGGCTTTGGGCATATACACAGAAGTATAGGGCCGAGACCCCGGTAAACGCAGGGTGTGTGTGCATGCATGCGTGTGCATGTGGTCTGAATTTCTATGGAAGTGCCCCTGACTATGTGGACAGGTGAGTCACCTGTGTGCACCCTTAGGAAAATTCCCGAGCCTGTAATTGTGGGGGGGCAGTGTGCAGGGCCAGGCACTGCCCTCCAAGGGGCCCTCAGGAGCCTCACCAGTTTGCGCTGACACCAGTGGCAGAGGCCGCAGAGGACGACAGTGACGCTAAGGCTGACGGTGATGATGGCAGAGACCAGCAGGACGTCGCGCGAGGGCGCCCCTGGGGAGGACAGGTACAGGTCAGACCCTCATTGGCCAGGGCCACCCTCCCTCAGCCCAGAGCCCTCCAGAACAACCACCCTACCCTTCCATCTGGCCCCTTCACCGGGAGCTCTGAACCCAGGTTCTACTCCCAGTTCTGCCTTGCTTGATGAACTTGGGTAGTTTCTCTCTGTGTGCCTCAGTTTTCTCATCTGTAAAATGGGGAAACTGTGCCAGTTGGCATCTTTCTCTGTCTCTCCCTGCATGGACCCTGTGTGAGTCCATGGGATCTGTGCCATCCTCCAAATTTGAAACCCTCAAAGGAGGGCCAAATGTGCTCCTCAGCTCAGCCAGACTTCATCTGTCCATCAAATCCCTCCACAGGCCACTGCTCCTGGATGGCCTTTTCACACAGCACTCTTCCAACCGCTACCCTGACAACACACACACTCTCAGTCGAAACTCCAGTCAAATTTGTCCAAAGGGTCCTTATTAGCTCTGACAGCCCTTTTGAGGACATCTGCCTCATGGGCACTAGCCGATCATCTTGTTTCCCAAGATTCACCAGCCATATGTGTAGTCAAAGGAATCTCTGGAACCCTCTGACCAGCTGTTGCCCCCTTTAGCCCAGCTTTCTTTGGTCTGGAAGCCCACCCACTGGCCTCTGCACATCCCTATCCACCGAGCTCCCACCCCCCGCAACACCATGGCTGCAGCCCATCTGTAATTCCTAAATGCTCTCATCCCAAGAGCCAAGGGGCCATAAACCTCAGGAGTGGAAACCTTGACACCCTTGCCAAAGATGAGACCTGTCCTGGGAGGAAAATCTCAGGCCTCTGTCCGAATCCCACCCCTTCCCAGGCTGTGTGGCTTCCACCAGTCACAGAAGCACTTAGCTTCTTCCTCTGTAAATGCAGATCAGACCTCCTCCCCCACCCTCCTCACAGGTGATTGTAAACATTAGCCCAAACCAAATGAAAGGAAGGCAAAAGCCTGGAGGAAAAATTCTCATGTGGGGCAGTGAGTGGAGACCCGCATAGATCACACATGCGCTATAAATCTGTTGCGTGTGCTAGGATGCGTCCTAAAGCCAAGGAGATGCTGTTTATTTACAGAGGAGCCTGCGTGGGCTTTTTGGTGCCAGTGATCGTAGTAATTAAGAGTTGACGATATCTGTCTGGTCCTGGTTCCTGCGGTTTTAGCTTCTGCCTTTCTTCCTCTCCCAGTCTCTCTTACTTGGCCATGCAGCCTGGTGGAGGAGGGCCCAGCAGTCACCCTCAGGGATGACTCTCATCAACTCTCAGGGGCCTCTGGGCTCCCTCCCTCCTCCACTCCAGCACCCTGGGCAGTCCCTTCTCTACCTGCTCTACTAGAATCCTCTTTGGGCCCCACCTCTCCCTTCCTGACTTCTTGAGCCTCCTAGCTGTGGGGAAAGGCCACCCTTGTGAGAGTCCCACCTGTCCACCCGCCAGGCAAATCCAGTCTCCTCCTGTACCAAGTCTGCAGCCTCAACCCCCCGGAAGCCCCTGCACCCAGTTCACTTTCAACCTCAGGGCCCAGGGCACCCATAAGCTCTGACCTGGACAACCTGCAGACACCAAGGTCCTGCCCCTCCCTCTCCTGGGCTGAGGAGCACAGCTCTGCAAGCCTGGAGGGGCCACATTTGTCAAAGTTCTCAGGTCAAATAGGAGAACTAGGACTCTGATCTCCAAGCTTCTGAGGGAGAATAGGAGCAGGGCACTCCATCACAGCCCCACGGCCCATGGCCAGGCCTCCAGGGAAGGGATGGGCAAAGGTGCCTTCTGGACATGAGATCTGTTTCCCAGCTCTCCCCATGGAACCCGCCCAGCCCCACTGGAAGGGCTAGGGGAGCTATGTGGGCTGAAAGCAAGTGAGCCCACACTTTCCTTTGTTTAACTCACTTTGAAATAAAGTAAACTCCATTCTTACGCTGAGCTTTCCTCGGCAACTATCTATTAAGAATATATTATGAGTGGGCGTGGTGGCTCATGCCTGTAATCCCAGCACTTTGGGAACCAGAGGCAGGCAGATCACTCAAGGTCAGGAATTTGAGGCCAACATGGTGAAACCCCATCTCTACTAAAAATACAAAAAATTAGCTGGGCGTGGTGATGTGTGCCTGTAGTCCCAGCTGCTTAGCCCAGGAGGCTGAGGCATGAGAATCGCTTAGCTTGAACTCTGCCATGGGGATTGGAGGGGGGCGGAGGTTTTAGTGAGCCCAGATTGCACCACAGCACTCCAGCCTGGGCAACAGAACAAGACTCTGTCTCAAAAAAAAAAAAAAAAAAAAAATCAGTCTCACACACACACACACACACACACACACACACATAAATTATGAGGGTATGTGTTTGTGGGGGGACAGGCCCTGCCCACAAGGAACTACCACTC